TCAGCTACCTTTGTTCCTTTTTTGCTAAGTAGTGTCCATGATTTCCCTCAAAACTCCAAATACCTGAAACTTAAGAGTTTTCATCAGATATTGAGATAAAATATGCATTTGAGGACACTAATTCTATCAAAATATAGCCCTAAATGAGTCCAATTTGTTGACTCATCAGAGTACAGTAGTATATTGTTGTACGAGAACACAAATGATATTCAAAACTGTAATAATAATAGGGGCCGATATCAAGTTACATTATTCTATGACAGTTTGAGAGAGAATGATGAGGGTGAAAAGGGGTGTGTCTATTTTAAAGAATCAATTTCACAATGGAGCGATTGACTACAGAAGTCATCCATCTTGTGAGCAGATCAGTGAATAAGTATAAGGAAACAGATATGGACTTAAATATAAAGAAAGAAAGATGAACTTACATATGATGTTAATTGACCTTTTAAAAACCTATGATAATGTCTCGAGGAAAGTCCTCTGGAGATGCCGGGAGGCTAGAGGTGTACCGTTGACCTACATTAGGGAACATGTATGATGGAACGTAGACTCAGTTAGAACGATGAGAGGAGAAATATTGAAGCACTTCCTAGTTGATATGAGATTGCATTAGGGATCAATTCTTAGCATGTTCCTATTTATCTTGGTGATGAATGAATTGATGCAATATATTCAAGATGAGATGTCATGGTGTATATATTTGTAGATGATATAGTACTGATCGAAGAGACACTCAATAGAGTTATGTTAGATTGGAGGTATGGAGACAAACTCTAGATTAATCTAATGGGTTCATATTGAGCAAGACTTAAATAAATATTTGGAGTGAAAATTTAGTGATATTGCAATGCATGAGGCAAGTGTGCAAATGAGGTTTGATGCACAGACAATCCTAAGAGAGATAGTTTTAAGTAGCTTGGGTTTGTCATCGATGAAAGAGGGGACATCAATGGGGATGTCACACATCATATTGACATGGCTTGGATGAAGCGGAAACTTGCATTTGGAGTCTTGTGTAATAAAAAAATACCACATGAACTTAAAGGTAACTTTTATAAAGTGGTAGTGGACATACTAAAAGTGATAATATTAGGAACAAGGATATCATGGATAAAATGAGGAAAGCAAGATTATGATGATTTGAAATACGGAAGAGGAGTTAGTATTACAAACACTACAAAAAAAATACCTTTTAGCGGCAATAAATATACACATTAACAAAAAGTGTTAAAGTCTTTACTGGCATTAGTTAATTGTCATAGGATTCAATGTCGCTAAAGGCTTTAGGGACATATACAAAGAGTGTCAATTGCCGCTAAAAGTATATATTTAGTGGCAATTAAGCTATTGTCGTTAATTAATTGCCGCTAAAAATCATTTTTGAGGTAATGAAACTTTAATACTAACATGTATTGCTATGTTCAGTTTTGAGTTTACTCACAATTCAAGAGGCTCAACTCGTTATAACCTTTTAACATGTTTATGTCATCTTTTAGTTTTCATAATTCAAGAGGCTCATATCAATTGATGATTTTGCAATCCCATTCAACTATTTGAAGCTCAAGAAATGAAGTTAATTTTCGAGTCAGAACAAAAAAGGGTCAAATATAATTTAAATCTATCAACAAAACAAGCTTTCTTCAACAAACTTTATATCTTAAAGCCAAAAATGCCTCAAGATAAGGAACAACTATTAATGTGGAGCATGATCCAGAAATCCTTGTCATACAATATCTTTCAAAACTCTTTTTTAAACATGATCTTATAAGATGAAATAAAGTAAAGAAAATAAGCATCTTTTTTGTTTCTGCACCTTTTAACTTCTTCATATAAACTTATATATGAAGATTTATTTTTTGTGTCAAATCATAGCCTTAAGTGATTGATTTAATACATGGAATCCATGGGGGACACCAACAAATACAAGTGAGGAAAAGAAAAGAATTTATGCACTTCCTTCTCTCTTTTGTTTTCTACTTTTCTTTCTTTAGCATTGCAAATGTACATTGTCACGCGCTCAAAGGTGTGACCTAGTAATTAAATAAACTACGTACAAATCTTGTAGATTAGGGTTTAGTTCCTAACTAAGGCAAAACAAAAAATGAAGAAGGTGATTTCTTCCCATTTAGACCGAAGTCGTGGTAGATAGAATCACCTAATTATTACGTTGATAATATAACAAGTATCTGATGAAATATAATTAATCAAGGTGAAAGAAATATGATCCGAACACCACTATAAAAAAAGAAGAAGATACCTTTGCTATCTTATTGTGCATTTTAATGTAAACACCATCCAAGAATTTGAACCCTATGATGTTTACAAATCTTGAAAAGATATTAATTTGCATGTGAAGTGAAGGATTGATGAAATCTTTTATCGAACATAAACGTCTCCTCCAATGTCAAATAATAAGAAAGAATATGAGAAACTTATAATTGGATACCTTTTGTTTGGGAACTTGTTGAGCTAGAAATGGAGATACATACAATTAATGTATTTTTATATATCAAATATCTTTATTGCCATATGCATTTTACAATTTTGAGGAATATTTTACGGCATAATACATAAATATGTCATTTAATTTTGATTCAGCTTGTATTTATGCCTTCTAATTTTGGATTTGTATAAGTATGCACTTAAACTTGTATAAAATTGAACAAATAAACACATTCATCCTACGTGGCATTGTACATATATTATGCCAAGTAGGATGCGTGTGTCTACTTGTTTAATTTTATACAAATTTAAGTGTCTACTTGTTTAATTTTATACAAATTTAAGTGTCTACTTCTGCATACTAAAAGTTGAAGAGCATAGATGTCAACTGAAACTAAGTTAAAGGCATAACTATGTATTATACCAATGAATTATTGTACATTATGAATGCTGATATTTATTTGGATTTGATTTATATACGCCGTCTAAGTTTTATTTTTATTTTTTACATTATCAATATATTTGAACATGTTTTGATACAAAAAAAAACTTGCCTTATTTTCAGGTTATTTATAAACGTTTTTATGTTATGTTATCCATGTATATAGAAGTTAAACTTTATTTATAAAATAGGTATCGAAACATGAATAACTCATAATATAGAAAAAAAATCATCATCATAAATAATATTATATGAATTGGAGAATTATAATTTTTAAGAATTAAAATACTCAAATTTTCACAATAATTAAAAGATGAAAAAGAGGAGATGAACTCTATTTTATAATCAAGAATTTCTAGAAAGATATGATTCCAAGAACAATACAAGAACTCTTGGTCCTACCCTCTTTGGAAAGCAAAAATATACCAAAAGCTAAGATAAGTTGAGGTACTTTTGCCAATTATCCGACCCCGACGATCCAATAATAATTTTAAATAACTTTTACGTTAGAAATTAAACCTACAAATTTGCGAATTCAAAAGCACTTTTTATAGAAAAATAAATTTGTCTTTATTGGTAAATAATAATAATAATAATAATAATAATAATAATATAATAATGTTTACACATAAGTTGTATGTATAAGTCAAAACTCAATTAGAAATTAGTACTAATTACTGTCAATATTTGGTTAAACAAAAGGAGCTAATTTTTTTGGTAATTTTGTCAACTCAAACAAAAGGTCTCCACCAAGCCGCCCACTCACACTCACCTTATAGTGGAGTTTGTGGCAAAGTTTTCCATGTCCAAAACAAGAAGAAAAAGCTCATAAAAAAAATTTATTATTTTTTTAAATAAAAAAGGTATATATTATTATATGATGGAGATCCTCTCTGTTATCTTTTTTTTGTCCGTTTTCTCTTCTTCATTAACATCCGGAGATAATTACGACAACAACATATTCAATATAATTACATAAATATAACTTGATGTAACCTTCTTCAATACTTTTGTGTGATAAAGAAATTGTTTCTAATAAATTTTCGACTTAAAAGAGAAGTTATCAAAGTAGAAATTAAATGCAAGAAACTATGATAACCATATAATTAAATATAATGCAAATAATGTACCAACGTAACCAACGTAACACATATCGAAGAATAAGAAACAATCCAACTATGAAATCCTACTACTACTAAAGAGAAGAGGGGATGTGATAAGTCCCTCTGCCTTTTTCATCTAAAATGCGATAACACTCGATTGCATGTTAACCTTCTATCTTTTATTACTTCTATTTAAAATCACGTCTTTATAACATTGACCTTTATTACTTCTATTTAAAATTACGTCTTTATAACATTGACCTACGTACCTTTCTAAATTTTCGCTCAAATATTTATTTCATCATATTTTTTCCCTTAAGATAGACGATGAGTCAAATGTATTCAAATTTGATATTTATACAAACCTTTTTTTAATCTTAATATTTATACTAACCAACGAATACAATACATGTATTTTTCATTTACCTATAATTAAGTAATATTTATTTTTCACTTTAATTTTTAATTGTTAAGCTTAAATTGCTTGATATATAGAGTGTATATATAAATGCAATACCCAACACCTATTGACATGGCTAATTTGAATTTGCGTTGAGTAAACCTAGCAAAAGATAAATTTCAGCATCATGAGCCATGGTTGAATGGTTGAGATCATCTCACCCTTAATTAGAGGTCGCATGTTCTAATCCTAAATACGAAAAAGATCTTATTGGGAGTGTCGCCCTCATAAATGGACCCTGCAATGCATCGATCGAATCTGAATAAGCTGGATTTCAATATGATATCGAATACAAAATAAACATATATTAAAAAAAAATCCACAACATCCTTTTGAAAATCAACTCATAATTTAATATATATCATTTTTACGTCCCAATCAAACCGTCTGTCCACTCTTTTTTCTATTGTTTATTTTTCCTTCTATTGTTAAGCTTAAAAGCCCCCCTTCTCTCCCTTTCAATATTCCAAAACCAACATACACTAAAATCCCAAAACAAAACAAAAAACTCCCAACACATCTCCTCTTTTAATTTCTTTCGACTTCATCATCATTATCATTATCATCATGACCGGAAAAAAAACCCTAAATAGCCCGGTTGAAAGCCCGTTATCGGGCAACACATCCGATAACTTCTCTAAAGAACTAGACAAGTTCCTCCCTATAGCTAATGTTAGTAGAATCATGAAAAAATCTCTCCCAGCCAACGCGAAAATCTCCAAAGAAGCCAAAGAAACCGTTCAAGAATGTGTGTCTGAGTTCATTAGCTTCATCACGGGCGAAGCATCGGATAAATGTCAAAGAGAGAAGAGGAAGACCATCAATGGAGATGACCTTTTATGGGCTATGACAACATTAGGGTTTGAAAATTATGTTGGACCCTTAAAAGGTTATCTAAATAAGTATAGAGAAAGTGAAGGGGAAAAAAATATCATGGCTAGAAATGATGAAACTTCACATGAACCAATTATAACTAGTACAAATAATATTATTGGTACTAGTTATAATGATAATAATAATAATAATGTTACAAAATTCTCATTAGCAAGGCCTGAATTTATTCAGAGCTATAATAATGGGAATTTTTCACAAAATTATGGTGAGAATTTGACATCTAAAGCTAATCTTCATGGGGTTGAATGGTAGTTTATTTTTATTTATTTTTGAAAAAAATATTATGTACTTTGTTTTCTCAACATATTGCATACACCTTATTTTTAGGTTATGTTTGTTTTTCTTTTCTTTTTTTGTTTTTAAATTAACATATTTTATTGCTTTTATAAATTAGTATATGTGTTAAGTATTGTAGTTGGATTTATAGGTTTGCTGATTATGTATCTTTCTGATGTAATGAATGAGCTGATTCATCAATGTCATGTTATTATTATTATTATCTAGTCAAATTGTTGTTGGGTTTAATTATTTGATTAATTAAGAATCAAATGCTGAGTTGTATTTTGAGAAAATGCTTTTAAAGTATTGAAAGTTGTTTACGGATTAATTAATATTAAGTTGGCCGTGCTGTCTACATAGTATGAGCTTGAATATAGAGTAATTACCTATTAATTGACTTAATGATGTGGTACAGTGAAAGGAGTTGTTCCTTTCTTAATTAGAAGTTTTGGATTTGAACTCAGGATATAAAAAAAATGTTTGGTAGCACTCCACTAAATGGGGTCCTAGGCGGCGCGAATTCAAAATAGTTGGACTCCACTACGAATAGCGAACACCGATGAAAAAAAAAAGTGATATGATAAATTTCAGTCCTTCGAGGAAACTTCATATGGAATTATTCTTATATATTACTCCCTTCGTCCATTTTTAGTTGTTTTGTCATGTTACGTTTTTCGAAAGTCAATTTGACTAATTTTGAAAGTTAAATTAGAATACATTAATTCGATATTTAAAACAAAAAAATTAGATATTCAAAAACTACCCAAAAAGTACAATAACTTGCTATTTTTTGAATATTAATATAATGAAAAAATACATCGTAAAATGTTAATCAAAATTTTTATTATTTGATTTTAAAAGAAATGCCATGATAGCTAAAAGTAGACGAAGGGAATAGAACATAGGAGTAATAAGTAACTATTTCAATTATATGTGCAAAAAAGGAAAAAAGTTATTTGACAATTCTAGTAATTGGCATTTTATAGGCCCAAGAAAAGAAGCTGACCATTCAGTGTTATTCATGTTGGTCTGGCCCAGAGAGTGAGATGACTCCTCAATTATAACTATATTGCTCCACCAACAATTATTAAAACTTATTGTGATACATCATTTTCGTAATATCAATTTTTTTATTATTATTGATGAGAAAATTTAAAGTTATTATCTATCAAATTTACACACAGCACAAAGTAAATCTCGTTTTATTGTAGTAGTCCACAAATTATACAGAAGAAATAAATAATACTAAGCAATTATTGTACGACGAGCTTAATAAAAAAACAAATATTAGAATTGTTAATTATAATTAGATGGTGAAGATTTGAGCACTCATTTGTTTTCTACTTTTCTTTGTTCCTTTTCTATATAAAGGACTTTTACAATGATTAGTGTGAAGAAAATGATCACTATGTACCCATTTATAAAATTTGCCCCTTCAATATTACAAGGCAAGAGTTTTGGAAATATATACAACTTAAATAATTATATATCCAGAAGGTATATAATAGCAAAAATAGTTAATTACATTGTTGTATATTATTTTATTGTATATTATTAAGGTATACAACATCTGAATTGTATATCATGAAGGTATATATAAGGTACAAGGTACATATTTAATGGATATTTATAAAGTACATAAGAACCCTATTGTATTATGTAACAAAAGTATTTACACAAATCAACACGACCACGGTTAGCTTATAGAAGGTATACTAAGGATATTTTTCGATGCCTAATTGATTACATGTTTTATTATAAAGTCATTCAAATATTCCAAAAGGGGAATCATCTGTTGTTCCTTCTTTAATTAGAAGTCTCGAATTTGAGTTTTGAATATACAAAAATTCTTGATAGGGAGCGTTTTTCCTCAAATGGGGCATTCCCTAAGCAGCACGAATTCGAAATAGTCAAGCTCCCATATGGATATTGAACATCAGATAGAAAACCAAACAAAAAAACTCCAAAAGGAGAGTCATACCATCTCTAGTATTAGTAGTCCTTTTGTGATCATTAAAAGTTTTGTATGACTAGAATCAACATATTTTGAAAAGTGTTTATAAAAAAAAAATAGAAAAAAAAAGAGAAAAACAGTTTATATTTGACTATTTAATTTGAAAAGTACTTTTGAGCAATAATTAGTATTTGATCAAGCTTATAAAAATTATTTCTAGTGTTATTTTTTTTAAAAATTGTTCGGAAAAAACCACTATTTATTTTAGCTTTTGAAAAACTAACAAGCCTTGCTATTCTTCAAGATCACTTACTTTCTCCTAAAAACTTAATCAAATAGCTCTCTTGTTAAAGATAAACACTTAAACAAATACATTTTTGACTTTTAATATTTTAGGCAAACTAATTGTTAATATTTTGAGCAAAAAATAAAAGCCTTGAACGGAGTCGAAAAACTTGTCTTAAAAAGTAGTTTTATATCTTTTTTCCTTATCTCTTCTCGAATTTGTCATGGACATTAATATTCTTTTTTGATGATATTTAATAATAGTTCAGAATTTGTAAACTAATAGAGTTGGGTCATTTCAATCGTACAATTATCTAGTTTTTTATTTGCTATTGGCACTATTAGTGCCTATGTAATTTTAGGAATGAAATTATAATTTTAAATTATTTTTTAAAACAAATTATTGGGTGTTCGATAAATTACCAACATGCTACTAATGGTAGAATTTGACTGATAGTGGGAGAATGAATTATAGGTAACAAAAAAGAGTTGAAATGTAAAAACTCAAGTTTTAATTATTAAGTCTAGGTGATAAACTTGTAATCAACTTTTAAAAATAATTGACTTTTTTTAATAGACCCTCAAGTTTTTATTTTAACACTTCACCCAAGTTTTAACTAAAACCTAATTTCTAAAAGAGGAAAGCCCCCAAATCAGTCTTTTTTTTGTCCTCTTAACGTCCCGCTCTCATATTTTCACATTTTTTTGTTCTAATCTTCGTCTCTAGCGTTTCTTTGTTGGTGTTGCAACTTATTGTAGATTTCTTATTTGAAGAATTTGAGAAGGGAAAATCTCAAATTTTAAATTAACATGTGATTTGAAAAGGTCTAAGCTTTAGAAATTACTTAACATGTAATTTTCAATCATTTTAATAAGTTAATAGTATTGTTTTGTGTGTATATTCATTTAAAAAATTTGATTTTTGTATTATTGTTCTTGCCACTTATGTATAATAATTTTCAGCAAGTGATATGACTATTCCTGTAATTTACAACATTTGCTGAATAATTTGTTGAAATAGATATTGTTGTTGAATATTTGTAGCAACTTCTATATCTATTTCAGCAGCTACTGAATAACTTACAACAATTATGATATTTTGATATAATTTTTTTATGTTCAATTAGTTCTAAGTTATAATATTTCCAGGTATCTTCAACAGCATTAATGGGAGATAGAATAGTAGTAGCAGTTGATTGTAATTGTGAATGGGTTGAGTCCAACAATTGTTATATTTGGCGTTGGAAGAGTAAAACTGGCCACGATAATTGCGATGATTGTTACTATTTGTGAACACATTTGATCTTATCTGTTTTGGTACTAATTGTTGTTATTCTGATTTGAGCACATAGTTGATTTTATTGTTATTCTTATTATTACTTTATTACTTGTTGTAGAGAATTTCAGCAATTAATTGCTATGAAAATTACAATAATTTTCGTACTTGTTGTAGAAATTTTAGCAATTGTTGTAAAAAAATATAACAACTCGTTTAATTGTTGTAGAGAATTTCAGCAGTTGTTGTAAAAAATACAACAATTCATTTACTTGTTGTAGGGAATTGTAGCAATTGCTATGAAAAGTACAATAATTTGCTTATTTGTTGTAGCAAATTCAAATAAAATTACTAGTTATTCTAGATTTTCTTTTAAAATTTGCCAAAACCATCCTATTTATCATTGAATATGATTAATATAACCAATTAACAATCAATTTATCAATTTAGGTTGATTACATGTGAATTACTTAATTGATCATTTGATATCTCAAATTACTATTTTTTTGTGTAAGATTACTATCAAATCTACCTTTTATTTGTAAGTTGGACGAAGATCACTCTATTTACCATTATATATAAGTGTTATAACCAATAAACAATCATTTACTCATTATAAATTGATTACATGTGAAGTTGTAATGGAATTGATCGTCTGGTATTTCAAATAACTATCTCACTATACAAGATCACTAGCTAATGTAAATTTTATTTTTAAATTAAATCAACACTACTCTATTTATCATTAAATATGAAATGAGTGTTACAACCAATAAACAATCAATTAATCAATTAACTTGCTTACTTGTTAAAGAAATTTCAACAACTGCTATAAAAAGTACAACAATTTTCTTACATGCTATAGACAATTTCAGCAATTGCTATAAAAAAAAAATACAACAATTCGTTCAATTGTTGTAGAGAATTGTAGCAATTGCTATGAAAAATACAACAATTTGCTTATTTATTGTAGCAAATTCAAATAAAATTGATATCCATTCTAGATTTTCTTTTTAAATTAGCTAAAATCATCCTATTTATCATTGAATATGATTAATATAACTAATTAACAATCAATTTATCAATTTAGGTTGATTACATATGAAATTACTTAATTGATCATTTGATATCTCAAATTACTATCTTTTTTGTGTAAGATTACTATCAAATCTACCTTTTATTTGTAAGTTGGACAAAGATCACTCTATTTATCATTACATATGAGAGTTATAACCAATAAACGATCATTTACTCATTATAAATTGATTACATGTGCAATTGTAATGAAATTGATCGTCTGGTATCTCAAATAACTATCTCATTATACAAGATCACTATCTAATGTAAATTTTATTTTTAAATTAAATCAACACTACTCTATTTATCATTAAATATGAATATGAGTGTTACAACCAATAAACAATCAATTAATCAATTAACTTGTTTACTTGTTAAAGA